GAGATCATTTTGATACCAGAGTTTCTGAGTGGGGCAGGCCATAAACATTAAACATGGTGGAGGGGACAACCACTGCTGCTGTCAATGCTATTCTTTATTAGTTTTTTCCACAACAACTACATCACTTTGTCTTGTGATCGCTAAAGTATTGTATTTATAAGCTATATATGAACAATCATTTATGTTTTATAAACAGTGAAATAAGCATGTATTTGACCAAAATTCCAGAATCGTCATTAAGCTGAATATCTAGCGCTGTGAATGTTTATGTGATTGTCAGCCAATGGGATGCTACATTTTATTCTTTCCGACAACAAAGCATTTGAATGCTACAAGCTCGTAATCATGACTTTATAAGTGGAAAATAGGAAATTTCCGATTTCACGTTAAGGCAGCATAAGTTCCTCTTTGCTGACCTTTCATTTGTCCGGCAATGTTTGTGTCACACTCTGTCTCGAATGTTTGGATTAGCTATATCTTTGTTGTTGGAATTTAACTTAAAGGGTTAGTTCACCCAAAAATGAAAATTAGCCCATAAATTACTCACTCTCAAGTAATCCTAGGTTTATATGACTTTCTTCTTTCAGACAAATCCAGTCCGAGTTATATTAAAAATTGTCTTTGATCTTTCAAGCTGTTTAATGGCACTCAGCGGGTGTTGCATGCATCAGTCCAAAAGAAGTGAAATAAAAAGCGCCCATCCATACAAAAAAGTGTCTCACACGGCTCCGAGGGGTGAACAAAGGCCTGTAGCGAATCGAAGCATTTTTGTAAGAAAAATAACCATATTTAAAATGTAATAATCACTTTAATCTAGCTTGCACCAACAGTTGTACACGGAAGAAGTTCCGGGCTGATGACGTATGAGTTCAGCGCTGTGCATGCGCCGGTGAGTCTCGTGAAAACCAACGTTTGTTAACGGGAGCAAAGGAAGCAAAGTTTCCTTACTTTAGCAAAGTAAAACCAGTCTCCTCTTGTCCTATATCGAAATCCTCCGACATTCTTCTTTACAAATCCTTGTTTTGTACTTCTAATTAGTGACCGTTGTTTTGATTTGATCTCTCGCCTGCGCTTCTGCGTTCGTCACTTCTGAGCGGCACATGCGCAAAGCTGACCTCATACGTCATCCGCCCGGAACTGCTTCCGTGTACAACAGTGAGCGCAAGCTAGATTAAAGTGATTATTACACTTTGAATATGGATATTTTTCTTACAAAAACGCATTGATTCGCTACAGGAGGCCTTTGTTCACTTTGTTTCACACTTTTTTGGGTGAACTAACCCTTTAAGGTATAAATTAACATGACAATGAGTTTAGTGTGTCCTTTCTGATGAAAAGTGTTTTATTTTGAGGGGGGGAATAAATCTTGCTGCCTCTAAAATTTTGTAATTCTACAGCATGTGTAACATACACCAGCCAGTGCAATTTGTCACCTAAGTATAAAAATGTCTAGAATTGTAACTTCCACGGTATCTGCTTTAAGTATCTGTTGTCAGTCTTGTTTTTCTACCATTTCCTATCAATCTCTTCAACCCCCAAAAGATTTCCATTGTAAAAATGCCACTGTGTTTTGCCCCAGACGATGAGACATCGGTCAGTCAAAGTCTGTCCCACATTTAGTTGATGTTTGGCCATGCAGAACTCTCCTCACTGGATTCTGAAGTGACTCATGTATCCGCTCAGGCGTGATTATAGTCTCTGTGACGTAAGTCAGGACCACTCTGCTCTTTGAGCCCACACCCTGCCTCCAGACCACAGTCCTTGCTCTCTATGCTGCAGTAAGCAGGTTTTAATGTCACATTGAGGGTAAGTTTTGTTGGGCTGAATGCGCATCTTGCTGCTCTATGTCATCAGACTGTTATAGTGATTATTCTGACGTGCATTGTTTTTCATTGACAGAACTAGTCATGTGATGTTGTCTTGCTGCAAGAGCTCTTAAAAATAAAGTTTCTCTGTTGCCATCTATGGTTCCATGAAGAACCTTTCCGTTTCACAAAATGTTCTTTGTAGTGGAAAAGGCTTCTTCAGATTCTCAAAATGTTCTTTCTCATGGTTCTTTCTTTTAAAGAACTGTTCAGAAGAGTTGGGTTTTTTTTGGGAACTCTTTCTATGTTGTGAAACCCTTTATAAAGAAACTTTATAATGAAAGTTTCTTTTCAAATGCATTATATCTGTGTGTTTAAAAAAATGGATGCTGACATGCAGTGCAACAGCTTGCTTTTTCTACATGTTTTGCTTTCTGTGTGACTGTTATAGTGATTATTCTGACGTGCATTGTTTTTCATTGACAGAACTAGTCATGTGATGTTGTCTTGCTGCAAGAGCTCTTAAAAATAAAGTTTCTCTGTTGCCATCTATGGTTCCATGAAGAACCTTTCCGTTTCACAAAATGTTCTTTGTAGTGGAAAAGGCTTCTTCAGATTCTCAAAATGTTCTTTCTCATGGTTCTTTCTTTTAAAGAACTGTTCAGAAGAGTTGGGTTTTTTTTGGGAACTCTTTCTATGTTGTGAAACCCTTTATAAAGAAACTTTATAATGAAAGTTTCTTTTCAAATGCATTATATCTGTGTGTTTAAAAAAGCAACAGCTTGCTTTTTCTACATGTTTTGCTTTCTGTGCGTGTGTATTTTAGCATAAAATTCCTATGTGAGTTTGAGCAACTGCGCATGTCCATTGTGGGTTTTAGAGCTGCATGCCTATGTGTAGCCAAAAATGTAATATCTGCCTGTGAACTCAGAGTGAGTGTGTGTGTGTGAGAGAGAGAGGAGCTCTCATTAAGTAATTTCCTCAGTGACTGAAAGCAAACATTCTCACTTTTCTTAAAGGAAGTGACTCAACTCCCTTTCTCTAACATTGCCTCTCCATCATCCTGCTCTCACAATTTTTTCTTGCCCACTGGCTGATTTAACTGTCTTGAATTTGCCTTTTCTCCCTTCTTGTTTTATACACGTCCTCTATAAAATCACATTCTCTTGGGTTTTCTTTTATGGGGGTCAAATTTCATAACAATCATATCTTTAGTTTTAAGTTTTCTCCTCATCTGGTAACAAGAACACTGAAAAACAACTTGTGTAGAATTTACCTTGTAACAATTTTAACTCAGAAATTGCTAGTAGCTTAAATTTCACAAATAACTAAAAAAATAACACATTGAATCAAACGTGAAATTTTTAAGTAGAGAAACTGAAATAGCATTTTCTTGTAAAACATGCTCTAATGATCTTTGTTTTATTCACAACTATTAAAAAAAACTGCTTTATTTTCCCTCCTTTATGATAAATACCATGGTAGTAATATTTTTGCCGCATAATTATTAATAAAATGTCATAATAAAATGTTGTTAGGAATCTCTTTTTAAAGCCACTGGTGGCAAATACCACCAAAACAACAACAACAAAAAACACCAATTGTATTTTCACAATGTTGCTGTAGAAATAATACAAACAATTGTAGTATTTTTTTTCTAAGGGCCTGTACATGATACGCTAAAAAATACCAGTTTATACTTAATTGTATACATATGCAAAAATACTTAATGGAATACCAAGACACTATTATCCCTGCTGAAAAAAGAGAGAATGGTTTGGTTTAAGCATAACTGTAACCACCATAGACATTGACCCCATTAATTACAAATTAATTACCACCACCTCTATTTGAAATTTGCACTGCTCTGCTGCACTCCATTGTGCAGTGCTCTGTTTGTTGTTATTGTTTTGTTTATTCTTTACAGACAACGGACCTCAGCTTTCCAGTAGCAAATTCAAGATGTTTTCTTTTTTTCACGAAGCTCACTTGCATTCGCTGTTTGGTCGCTTGTAGCTTGCTGCTTTTAATTTCTCTCCAATTTCGCCACTTTCTCTCTTGCACGCTTGGGTTTTATAATCCCTTCTCTCACCTCCTTTGGACTTACTTTTTGGTCAGTCCATACAAGAGAACCACTTCTGACACCATGTTTTGTTGATTCTTCACAGACAGATGCAAACACAGTCATTCTTAAGCAGTGTTGACATCTTTTATCTTAACCCTCTGACCTCTGCCCCGGACACACCCACTTAAAGCCCCATGCATAACAACACATTTATGGATGTCAAAAAACCTTACATTTGAAGGCTGGTGTTCCTCTGAGGTCTTCAATGTAAAATGATTGAGATGAATCAAAGTAGGCGGGGTTTCCAGAAGCAGAGCGCGAATTCCCGTGCAAAGCGTCAGTTTTAAAGCTCTAAACTAAAAAGTTTTGACGTTGAAAGAGAGCGAGGTATGATGCAAGTAGCGAAACATTTCATATTTAACAGCTGTTTTCGATAAAAATGTTAGAAGCGACTGACAGTAATATCCAGTGATGCCAACTATTCGACTTTTTCTCAAATATGGCTGTTTTGAATTGAAAAGTGACAGGCATACAAATAAATGTGAATGTAGGCCTATGCATATTTTAAATTATTATTTAAACGGTTTAAAAGGATCACTTTCTAGCTAGAATTAGACCTAGAATTTCCTTCACTGTTCTAGTCAAGACACGTTACCTAGGGTCTTGGGTTGAAGCCATTTTGCTTGTCCCCCAGCCTGTCCGAGCTGACAAGAAGTGTCCAACATCTCTCTAAAACCAAGCTGGAAGACCAGTGAAACAGCATAGGCCTTTTCAGTTCAGCAGAGGTGTTAAAAGAGTTTTTAAAGAGATTTTTAAATCACATGGTAAATTGCCCTCTTGCTATGCTTAAGTAGTATCCTAAACACTACTAATTCATTAGTGTTGTGCATGCAAAAGTTATGGCCCAGGGCACTGCAGCTGGCATTTCCACTGTCATATTTGTGTTCAGTGACCGTGACAGCGTCATTCGAAATAAGGGGAAAAGAAGGTGACGAGGAAAAGCACCGACATCAAAACCTCTGTGAGTTGTGAGTCCCGCTCCTGTACTGCTCTGGCCTTGCGCCAGCTCGGCTGCCCGTGGATTGGCTCCCGCTTTGCCTCTCCTCCTCCTAAACTTTCCCAAACTGCGATACGCACACACGCCATCCACGCAGCGACTGAAAGTAAGGAGAACTGCTTTAAGGAATGAGGAGTTTTTCACCTTATTCCACTGCCAGGTTGCCTTCTAAGACATGTAAGCATTTTAAAGCGCCTTTTAAAAATGTCGCAAACGACCTCGATGCGGATCATCTGTATTTTTTATCCACCGAACCGGACGTAATTTTTCAAGTTTCTCACTCGAAACGGGACAGGAAGGCATCGGGAAAACTTTCTGCGCGAGGACTTTCATAGCCAGCGCTGCCTGGGAAGAGAGCGCGTGCTTGCGTACTTTTTCCAAACGGGGCTCCAGCAAAACGTCTTCTGCGGTCGTGCGCGGAGGGACCGCCTGATCCGCTCAGGCTTTTCGGACATATATTGTGGGTGGTAGCGTGAATGACCTGTGTTGGCATTGAGGGATGCCAGCATGCCCTCGCTGATTTTCTCCCATCTGCTCCTCATCTGGCTCGCGCTCCAGCGGCTGGCTCTGTGCGGAGAGCGCGCGTCCACTCGCGAGCGCTTCAAAGTGGTTATCGCGCCACTCATCTGCAAACGGACGTGTCTGAAGGGACAGTGTCAGGACACCTGCGAGCAGGGCAACAACACGACCCTCATCGGTGAAAACGGACAGTCGGCGGACACACTGACCGGGCCGGGCTTCAGAGTCGGTAAGTCAATTCAAGTTTAGAATGATTATTATTATTCGGTTTGGTCTGATGACAGGACTGCTCACGAACTCTATTGTTAATGTTTTTGCCACACTTGGATGAAGAAGGACCTTAAAGGTATAGTTTACCCAAAAATAAACATTTCACCTTGAATGACTTGAGTTACGTATTTACTTACCCTCACGTTGGTCCAAACCAGTATGACTTTATTTCTGAAGTAAAATATTAGTGACTGATACCGTCAGTCTCCATTCACTTTCATTGCATCATTTTTCCATACAATTAAAGTGAATGGTGACTGGGCCTGTCATTCTGCCTAACGTTTCTTTTTATGTTTCACCCAAGAAAGTAAGTAATGCAGATGTGAAAGTGTGAATCAATTATGACTTTTTTGTTGTTGTTGTTGAGTGAACTGGCCCTTTAATATACAAACTTTATGGTTGAATATGTGGCACGTGAGTCTGTGAGTGGAAATGCAGTAAAAACTGCCTCAATTTTCTCCGTCTATTTCTCTCTAGCTCTTGGTAATGGTTTCTGCATATTGTCTGGTTGGCAGGGTAGCTCTCGCTCTGAGCTGTATCAGATTGGATGTGGTAAGGCATGGTGCCATAAAGTCTATGCAGCAAGATCTGCACTGCTCACACACACATTCTCTTCTCTTAAACACGCACATGTACATTCACATTCTCTTTGTCCACATAAACAAACACTCGCAGTCGACAGACTACTAAAATAGTTTGTGTGTGTAATATATATACATATATATATTACTGAGCCAAAACTTTTTAATGTTAGTGTATATTGGTATCATAAGTCCAAATCGATTCATGAATCATATCGATTTACAATAAAATAAAAAAAAACATCTTTATTAGAAACAAAGCTGTGATTTGATTTGACAAAGTTAACTGAAAGCCATTTGGACCTCCTAAGTAAATAATGAATCACATCCTCTAACCCTAAACCTAACTCTCACAGACACTTTTTGATGAATTTCTCAACACATTCTCAAACTGTTATTCTTTCAAACAAGTCCTTTTCTTTGCATGACTATCTGAGAATTTGTCTCTCTACAGGAATATGAGAACAGACAAGAAGCACCCACATGCTATTTGATAATGCTCCTCAACAGACTGGTTGAAGTTTTTGTTATTTATTTAATTTCACCAGACCTGATATTTTCTGAAACCTTTGGTTCTAGTAAGTATGTTAGGGAATAATACTCTTCTCGCAAGGTCTTTCAGTTGCTAACTTAGACTTGTCCAGAGTCCAGAGTTCATGGTGTTCAGTGGAAATGAGCACTGCAGCTACACTCAAACTGTGTTAAAGCTGTATAATCATCATCATAAAATAAATAAACCTTTATTTTAATGCCAGCAAGAAAATTTGTCATTAGATTTTTTACATTTTGCTTAAAGCCTGACTCAGCTGTCCAGATGATACATATTAAATTTTTCTCTGACTTGGTCCTTGTGGTTTCAGTCATGGAATGCACACACTGGGCCTCATTTACGAAATGAACGTACGACAGAAAATTGGGCGTACGGTCGTTTCAACGCAAAACTTGGAATTGATCAATATGGACGTGAGCGATGGCTACGATGAAATCTCACGTCTTGTCTCAGCTCATGTACGCAAGTTTTTGAGTTGCCTGAACTTAATATGGTGGAGAATTCTAGAATGACAGCATTTTGTTCATTTTTATTTTCCTGACCGTCAAATGAAGCTCATTAGTCGATCGTTAACCAGTAAGATTAGAATGTCTTTTTTTATTTATTAAAATATATAATAGGCTATAATATAATTAACAGATTTACAAAAGGGGGGTAAATTTAACAGTAAATCTGTTAATTATACTATAATATAATTAACAGATTTACAAAACTGTGCAACAAGTATAGGCTACGCTCGTTTTTGTGACACTCTTAATGCGTTTTATTTCTTTTCTTTATGTCTTTTCATTGTCTGTTTGATTACGTCTTTAATACATTTTTCCGTACATTTCTGCCATATGTACATTAACTGACAGTCACCACTGATAAGCTACTACTAAATATTGTAGAAACATAATTTTCTGTGAAGTTGCTTTTCAACGATTTGTATCATGAAAAGCGCTATACAAATAAACTTGAATTGAATTAGGCTATGTCTTTATTTGATTAAATCCATCTGATCGCACAGGTGCCTCACGCACACACAAACAACATTAGTTCTACCGTTGCCTGACATTTCAACTATTCATCATAAAACTAAAATGCAGTTAACCAAACATAAAAGTTACACTGTTTATTTTAAAAAGGTCCGCTGTAAGATCAGCGTGCAGTGCCCAAACAAACATTTTTGCGCATGTGAAGGATTTTACACGGATATTAGAACATGAGTGAAGTATAAAGCCATGTTTAGGCTACATAATAAATAATAGTTATGCAAACGAATGTTACAAATATGGCAAAAATGGAAACATTTGGATTCTTGTGGTATGAGACAGGCTCGTGAGCCCAATGCTGTTTCACTTTTGCTTTACATTTGTATGCTGTTTATAATGAATGCCATAGCCAAATTCGATTTATTTTATTGTTGAATATATAATTTTATAACTACTTATTTTTCATTCTTGTTCTGTTCTGAATACCGTTAAATTTAAAATATTTGTTGTAGAGTGAGGGGAACTAAATAGGCTGTTTATATTTACGAGTATTTCAAAATACATATAAATTACATAAATTAATGTAGCCTAATAGTTTGCAATTACAAGGTTAAACGGGTATTTTTGGAATAAGATCAATTTCTCTTTGACGAGATTACTTCCTCTTTTTGGCCGGGTTTCGTTTCTCCGTGTCGTAAACTCTAGGGCGAGGCTTCTAAACCAGGGTGTTTTTAGGGGCGTGATATGCAAATGACGATTGTTTTTTGCCGCCACATTTATCAACATGCGATCATTCGTATGATGAGATTGGCGGCATACGAATGTTTCATGAATCACACGAACTCTGTCTTAAGTTGATTTGTGCGCACGGATCTGCGCTCGTTTCTACGTTAGATTGATAAATGAGGCCCACTGTCTGTGTCTGGAGGATCAGGCACCTAAAGACATACTCGCATGTCAACTCATCTTATTTAATATGCAGAGTCTAACTTTTCTTTTTGTTAAAGTAATAGTCACCCAAAAATGAGAATTTGCTGAAAATTTACTCCCTCAGGTCATTCAAGATGTAGATGAGTTTGTTTCTTCATCTGAACAGATTTGGAGAAATTTAGCATTACATCATTTGCTCACCAATGGATAATCTGCAGTGAATGGGTGCCATCAGAATGAGAGTTCAAACAGCTGATGAAAACATCACAAGAATCAACAAGTGATCCACACAACTCACACAAATACACAGCTTTTCACTTCATAAGATGTTAATTGATGGACTGGAAGTTATTGTGATGTTTTTATTAGCTGTTTGAACTCTCATTCTGACGGTACCCATTTACCGCAGAGGATCCACTGGTAGGCAAGTGATGTAATGCTAAAAATTTTTTCAAACAAACTCATCTACATCTCGAATGGCCTAAGGCTGGGTAAATTTTCAGCAACTTGTAATTTTTGGGTAAACTATTTGTTTAATATTTGCTTATTTACTGGCAGTTTCATTAGCAGTTTGTTAAAGGGATCATATGATGCAATTTCAAATTTTCCTTTCTCTTTGGAGTGCTAAAAGCTGTTCGTGCATAGATAAGATCCCTAAAGTTGCAAAGACTAAAGTCTCAAATCCAAAGAGATATTCTTTATAAAAGAATCCTAAATCCTAAAACGCCTCATTCTAACACGCTCCCACATGTCTACGTCACGATGTGGGAAGATTTGCATGCAAAGAAAGAAGACGTAACTTTTATTCTTGCTGTAGTATTGTTGTTGCCGCCGCCGCCATGTCGTGGAGACGCTGTGTGTTTCGTTGTGAATGCGAAACTACTTTGTTTGGCCTTCCAAAAGAGGACGATATCCGCTTCGTCATGCCTGAAGCTGATCCGTGCTGGTCGCTGAAGAAATACATCAACTTCTCGCTGTGGATCGCCGGATCGGCTTTCACCGTGGACGAAGTAGAGTCCAGCCCGGGGGCGTCACATGTGGTTGCCGCAAGCCGACCATGCCGTTCCGCTCACTGAAGCCCGCCGTGTGTGACGCTGTGTGTTTCGTTGTGAAAGTGAAACTACTTTATTTTGCCTTTCAAAAGAGGACACAACTAGAAATCAGTGGTAAAGTTGTATTTACAACACTGTACCAGAACAGTTCAACCCAAATATTCAGATGTGTGCAGCGCATTTTATGGAGGACTGTTTCCTGATCCTGGTAGAATAGACTACAATGCCGGCTGTTCTGACTCACAGTCTGTAAGTACGTTTTCATATTTAAAGAATTTGAGTTTTGAGCAGTGTAGAGTAGCGCTTGCTTGTCATTTCTCTGATCACAAATGCAGACATGGTTTTATGTTTACGCGGCGCGATGCAACGCAACTCGTAAAAAGACAGTATAAGTCATTATAATCCATAATTATGTCCCCACTGGATGCAACAAATGCCTCGTTTATAATGGGTTTTTTAAATGTTTTTGTCTCATCGCTCCATCATAGTATGGTAAGGGGCGTAACATTTCCGTCACACGCTTGAGGTATTCGGCCAATCACAATGCACTGGATAGCTGGCCAATCAGAGCACAGCTCGCTTTTCAGACCGATGAGCTTTGTAAAAATCGACACGTTTCAGAAAGGCGGGGCATAGAGGAGAAACAATAATGTACAGTATGTGGAAAATAATGTGTTTTTTTTTTACCTTAAACCGCATAAACTCATTTTATTACACCAAATGCACAAAATAATGTTCTTTTTAGCAACATCATATGACCCCTTTAAGTACTGAGAAAGGAGCCTCCTTTTCTCTTTTTGTGTTCCTCTGTCTGTCTGTCAATGCCAGGATCTGGGTTTTGTGGCAAGAGGTGTGTAAACCCCAAACCATCC